AGGAAAGGAAAGGAAAGGAAAGGAAAGGAAAGGAAAGGAAAGGAAAGGAAAGGAAAGGAAAGGAAAGGAAAGGAAAGGAAAGGAAAGGAAAGGAAGAAAGGAAAAGGTTTTGTGCTGGTCCTTGGAGAGAGGTCATCATCCACTTCCAATCCAAAGAGCCATTTGAAACTCTGGGAGACCTCACCTTAAGCACCACATCCTGAGTAAATAATAGAATCACTGGGGTTGGAAAAGCCCTCCAAGATGATACAGTCCAGCCCTTAACCCAGCACTGCCATGTCCCTAAGTGCCACATTCACATGTTTTYTTAACACTTCCAGGGATGACTACACTCTGGGCAGCCTGTGCCAGTGCCTGATCACCCTTTCCAAGAATAAATTTTCTGTAATATSCAACCTGAATTTCCCCTGGTACAACTTGAGGCCATTTCCTCTGTTCTGTCCCTGTTCCCTGGGAGCAGAGCCCAACCCCTCCTGTCACAGGGAATTGTACAGTGTGAGAAGGTGCTCCCTGAGCCTCCTTTTCTCCAGGCTGAGCCCTTCACAGCTCCCTCAGCTGCTCCTGGTGCTCCAGCCCCTTCCCCAGCTCTGTTCCCTTCCCTGGACATGCTTCATCCTCTCAATATCTTTCTTGTCATGCAGAACCCAAGTGATGAGGTGAGGCCTACCCAGGCAGTTTCTCCCACTGCAACTTGCTTTAAAAATGACAGTTTATTGATTTCTTTCCTGCCTGAGCTCTTTCCTCAGCCCTGAGCATTTAATGGGGCCCTCAGAGGGCTGGTCCCTGCAGGGATGGGCTCTGGATGATGGATGTGAGCCTCTGCAGTCACTGCTTTGCTTTGGCCAAGTGCAATTCCAGCTGGGGTGTGCCGGGTTTGTCTGACACTGGTGAGGAGGCAGAGTGGGACACTGCAGCCAGGTTCAGTGTGGGGACCCAAATGTGGCTCCTTTCCTGTCAAACAGGGAMAATGAATTTCACCTTTGTTTGCAGCCAAGGGACTGCAAGGTCTGTGAGAGCAGGGAAATCCCTGGAAACCTCCGGAGAAGYGCAGAACCTGCCCTGAGTGCCATGCACAAGGTTTGTATGGATATTATCTGCTCTGGAAACTTCACAGCTGCTTAGGGCTGGAAGGACCCCAGAAAGGGTGGGTGGAGATGGAAGGGATAGGAGAAGGGAAAGGAGAAGGGAAGAACAGGATTAATCTGTGCCACAGCCTTCACGGGGCTGCCTCTGCTCCTGGCAGCCTTCAGCACTGAGAACCAGCAGAGRCAGCCTGAGGGCTCAAAGACTCTGACCACTGGACTGACACTCACTTCCCAGCAGGTGTCTGGATAACTCCCCAGCTGGGAGCAAGACCCCCAGCCTGGCTGTTATCCCCTTATCTGTTATCCCATTATCCCATTATCCAGAGCTGCCATCCACCTCTGTCCCCACCCCTAGAGCCCCACCTCTGTCCCTGATCCTGGTTCCAGTGTCCCCCTTCCTCTCCGCTTTCCTTGCACGGCTGGGACTGCCTCTCTGCATCCCTGCAGAGCACCAAGTGCTGCTCCTGCTCTTCACAACAGCCGCTGCAAGGTGCAGGAACACAAGGGGAGCCTTTGGGGCTCCATCCTGACRAATGCAGCTTGCACAGAAGAGCCCCAATAGCCCTGTGTGTACTGTGTGGGGATGTGGCCCCTGCAGACCCCTGTGTGGCCCCCCAGTTCAGTGTTGCTGTGCTGGGACAGTGCTAGCCAGGCTCTGGGAGGAGCCTCAGGGTGCACTGGAGCATCACCRCAGCTCCTGTCTGCCCCAGCAATTCCCACTTTCTGCCACGGCTGATCACCCTGATCCTTGCAGGGATCCCAACCCAGCCCTGCCCAGAGCTGGTCCCACCCTGGTGAGTGTCCATGGTCCAGCACGGTGACAGCTCTGCCATCCTGCACCACTCCCTGCAGTGATCCTGATCCCAGCTGGAGCTGCTTGATGGGATGGGAGAATGGCTTTAAACTCAAGGACAGTCAGCTTAGATTGGACAGTCAGCTTAGATTGGACTTGGGAGAGAAATTCCCCCCTGCGAGGGTGCTGAGGCCCTGGCACAGGGTGCCCAGAGAAGCTGGGGCTGCCCCTGGATCTCTGGAAGTRTCCAAGGCCAGGTTGGATGGGGCTTGGAGCAGCCTGGGACAGTGGAAGGTGTCCCTGCCCACCCAAACCATTCCAGAATTCTGTGATCCTGGAGGCTGCTGAAGAGCTCAGCTTTTACCCAAAATATTCCCCAACACCCCTTGCTGTGGCAGAGACAGGTTGGAAAGGCTGCTGAGAGCCCTGGAGCTGGGAGTAGCATCCCTGGGAAAAGAGCCCTGTACCAGCTGCGACCACAATGTGATGTTCAGAGATCCCAAATAGCTCCAGGCTGCACCCTGCTGTGTCCTGAGCCATCCTGCCCTGTGGCACGTGTCCCCCCAGGGTGCCAGGGCAGGGTCCTGCCCTGTGCATGCCTGGCAGACTGTGAGGAGCTGTGGCAATGCCACCCTGCTGGCAGTGCTCCTGGGTGACACGGGGACAGGGCTCTGGGGGTCTGGCAGCGGCAGGGGAGTGCCGTTCTTTGTGCAAGGAACACTTCGAGAGCAGCTTCTCCCCACCCCTCCTGTTTTGTTTTTTGGGAGGGTGCAGCAGAGAGGAGCTGGGCTGTCTGAAATCATCCTGGCTGGAAGTCAGCTCGAGGCTGGGCTGCAATTGCAATGGCAGGTCTCTCATCCAGCTGGTGCTGATCCCTGCAGCCTGAGAGAGCAGGAAAACACAGCAAACCCCACATCACAATAACCAGGAACTGCTTCTTATGTCTGCTCCCTTCCAGGGCTCTCAGGGATCCCTGGCCCCTCACCTTCCAGGAAGGAGAGTGCTGAGGCTGGGCTGAGGGGGGCTCTGCTGCAGAGTGGGGAGAATGCTGAATGCCCGGGGTTGTGTTTGGGGGAGCTGGGCCAGAAAGGAACTGAAAACCCATCAAATCATGGAATCATTAAAGCTGGAAAAGTCTTTTAAGATCACCAAATGCAACCATTTACACAGCACTGCCAGGCYTCTGTCCCCAAGGGCCCCATCTGCACATTTTTTCAAACACTGACATGACGTTCAAGGCATCTCTTGGCYAAGTGACTCACTTCWGCCTCAGTTTCCCCTCTTGGGTGAGCTCTCACCAGGTGTTTTCCAGGGCTCAGGGCTCTGACACAGCTGGCAGTGCTCCCCAGGAGTGAGCCAGGCTGGGGTGATGGGTCTGAAGCATGGAGCAAAGCCTGCATCCCCGCGCCCCGCTCCTGGGCAGGGGCAGGCTGCAGACACACTGCTGTTTCCAGGGACAATTTTCCCCACGCAGAGCCAGCAGGGTTGGGGTGCTGGCAGCTCTCTGCCTCCTCATCCATCTTCAATTCCCTGCTAGACAGCCAGGCAGAGCACAGAGAGCTCTGAAAAGCAGCCTGGGCACAGGCAAATGGAGCCTTGCTTCAGCCCTGCTGCCATTTGCTGAGGCCCCTTTCCAAGAGCAATGCCGGCTCCCGGCTCCTCGGGCAGGGGGGCCCGGGGCTCCCAGCTGCTTCCCAGGCTCCCCTTGCCACGGGAGCRGCAGCTTCTACCGGGACAGGAGCGCTGAGGGCTCTGGGCATCCCCAGCTGTGCCCAGGGACGCGGTGGGTGCTGCCCATGGGCTGCGGGGAACATCTGCATCCCGCCCTGGAGCCTGGAGCAGCGCAGGAATCACCAGAGGATGATCACAAACACAGCTACAGATGACAGCCCTGCTGCCGGGGGAAGCACACGGAGTGAAAGCTCTTCAGAGCAGCTCATCCTCTCAAACATTTGAATGCACAACCCCTCATTAACTCAACCCTCTCAACGAGCACTTCCTGTCACTGTSAGTTTGTGCACTGCCTTCACCAGGGCAAAATTTACCCCATTTCACTGCAAAGTGAACATCCCAGACTTCTACTGTTTTACTCAGCTTCTGATTTAGGAGAAAAAAAAAWYMAAAAAAACAAACCAGATCTTTCCTTCCTCTTCCCCCCACTTCAGGCAGAGGGGATGATGTTTGCACTGCTCAGCTGCTCTGCAGAGTTGAAATGGCCCCTGAGGATTGTCACCCCGTGCCCTGGGCCACTGCCCTCTGTGTGGGATCACCATCCCCACCTCACAGCATGGCCAGCTCTGCGGGCCGCTGCCACACCTGGGGTTAGGGTAAAAGTTCTCCTGCACATGGATTATCATTCTCAGTGCACCCTGGATTGTTCAGCCCTCATAGGTGGGGGTTCCCTTCAGTATTTTTTCCTGAGCTTCAGAGCAAGGATGCAAAACTCATCAATTCCAGGCTGTTGGTTGTTGATTTTGACATTGGAGCTGTTTCTCTGCACAGCTCATGCTCCTTAGGCACATCAAAGCTGCCCTGGGACTGGTGAGTGATTCACAGCCATCCCCACAAAGGACAGATCCCCTGTCCAGATTGATGGGATCCTGTCAAAGGGAGTTAYTCCTCCAGCCTGACCTGCTGGACTGCTTTGGTCAACTCTTGGAATGCAGCTGAGCCGGGATTTTGGGGGCACCAGCACAGCTCCTGCTGGCTTTGCACAGGAGAGGGCATTTGTCACCAGGTCACCTGCCAAACACAGGGCTGTGTCAGTTGTCAGTGCAGGTGAAACTGCAGGTGGGSAGGAGCGAGAGCCATGTCTGCAGCTGGTGGTGTCTGTTGTTTTTCCCCAGAAACAGAGAACTCGACTTCACCTTGAGGGCTTTTCCTTAGCAAAAGGYACTCCAGTTATTGTGCTCTTGAGCTACTGAGGTGATTGAAAATAGCAGTCTTAGAGATGAGGAGGAATTAAAAAGGTCCTCAGCCTGCTCTGTTCAAAATAACTCCTGGTTCTGAGAACCCAGACTCTGCCTTGGGAACCCTTGAGAGCTGGAAGCACCATGATCACAGCCCTGCAGCACAAGGGCCCAAGGTGGTGTCTTCGAGAGCCAGCTGCAAAAGCAGCAGCCCAGAAAACTCGGAAAGGCTGTGAAAATCAGGGATGGATGTTCCAGTTCCCGGTTCTCTGGTATAACAGCTAGATCTGGTTTTATTCCTGTCTCCCTGCGCCCAGGGCAACAGCAGAGTGGGATGTCCCCCATCCCAGCCTGGRAGAAGCCCCCTTGTCTGCACAGGAGGGACCTTGGCAGGTGCAGAACTCTGTGGGGATTTAGGATCATCCTAAATCAGCCTAAGGTGGTGGAAGGAGATGAGGCGTCCCTTGTCCTCCTCCCMTGGCAGAGCTGGTTCTGACTGGCAGCTCTGGGCTGCTCCAGTCCCTGTGTCACCCAGGAGGGGACCAAATGTGACAGCTGCTTCTGCCAGCCCCTGAGCACCCTGGCCTTGTGTTCACAGCAGGTGGAGAGCACGGTTTGCATCACCCCCTGGCCATGCYTCATTTTCCCCCATGCTGGGACACAAGGGGATGGCAGGGAAGCATGGGCACCTGCTGATTTAAGCTGTGGGATGAGCAGAAATGGATCAAAACAAGACAAAGTGCCCTGTTTTCCTCATCAGTATTCCCCTTAATGACTGCAGTTAACCCCTTTGCCCTCATTTAAGATGGATCTGGCTTTTTCCATGTTCTTTTATGGGCATTAATGACTTTCACATTTCCCCTTCTCCCAGCCCAGAGCTCTGGCACATCTGCCCAGCCTTGATTGTGTTTTATTTTCACTTCCATCCATGGCATCTTTGCTGTGTCAGTGCAGCATCAGCCCATCCCYGCCCAGGCCAGGGTCACTCCCCAGCCCCAGAGCAGCCCTCCAGCACTGACTTCTCCAGCTGGGAGTGCACACAGAGGCAGTGAAACCCCTTTCCCTCTGAGCTGGCGCTGTCCCCTGTTCCCAGCTGCCCTGCCTTGCTGGGAACACCCTTGTCCCTTGCACACCCAAGTTCTGAGTGYGATTCCGGACAACACTTTCACTGTTTTAATCCAACATGAGTTACTTCTCCCACAGATCTGAGCTGGGCTCCCTCCACACCCCTTGAACCTCACTGGGGTGTTCTGGGGTTATTTCCAATCCTGAAAAACAGGCCTGGCACAGGAAGAGAAAGAGAAAACAATTCCTGACTTGCTCAGCTGACGGCAGCCTAAAACCTTTGGAAATGCTGCTGCCACTGCTCRTGTGACAGGGAGGCTCCTGTGGCGGGGGGACAGGGGATGTCCCAGCTAGAACGGCACAGCCTGGGGCTGGCTGGGCAGGAATGGCACAGCCTGGGGCTCACAGCACAGCCAGGCTGGGTCTGGGCTGGCAGCAGGACATGGATCCATCTCTCCAGGACAGCAGGACACGGATCCATCTGTCCAGGACAGCAGGACATAGATCCATCTCTGGAGGAAAGGCCAGAGTTGGGATCCTGCACACCACAGCTGYGGATGAGCAGGGCTGAAGAGATGGAACCTGCAGCTGGGGACCTCTCCAGGAGCGTGGCCTCTTCCTGGATCACAGGGGATCCACAGCCCTTCCTTTGTGTGTCTGGTGATGTTAAACCATGACTCCACTCAGTAAAGATCCACAGAATTGCTGAGGGTGGGAGGCAGCGCTGGAGCTGCCTTCAGCAGAAGTTTCTSCACAGAAAGGGTGATCAGGCACTAGCCCAGCTGTCCAGGGCAGTGAAGGGACCCCATCCCTGGAGGGATTTAACCCTRTGGCTGTGGCAGCTGGGGACATGGCTTAATGGAACTTTGGCAGTGCTGTGGTAATGGTTGGGATCAATGACCTTAAAGGGCTTTTCCAACCTTGATTCCTTGATTCCAATTCCTGCCCAGAGCCCAGCCAGGGGGAGCAGGCTGTGCAGGGCCATCTCCAGCTGGGCTTTGAGCAGCTCCAGAGATGGTGGTCCTGCAGCCCCTCTGAGCAACCCGCTCCTGTGTTCAGCCACCTCACAGTAAAATGGCTTTTTTTCTGACATTCAGGAAGGATTTTCTGCATTTCAGTTTGTGCCTTTTGTCCTCGTGGTGAACACTACTGGAAGGAGCCTGGCTCTGTCCCGTTATTACCCGGCTTCAGTTGTTGATATCCATGAACAGGATCCCTCTGGATCCTGCTCTGCCCCAGCTGTCTCAGCCTTTCCCCACAGCAGAGCTGCTCCATCTCCTGGGTTTCAGCTGGTGAAGCTGTGGAAGCCTTTCCTGTTGCCTTTCTTGCTCCCTGCCAGCCTCAGCTCCAGGTGGACCTTGGCTGTCTCGACTCCATCCCAGCACACCTGGATCTGTATTCATGCTGTGTCCTTGTATCCCTTGCTCAATWCCCTGCTGCCTTTGCTGGATTCCCTGCTTGTCAGGGCAGGGGGGAGGAGTTGATCCCTAAAAATTATTCATGTCTCCTGTCCACCTTCTCTCTCCAGGACTGCATCCTGTGGACTCTTCCTAGCAGATCCCTCAAGGGGCCTAACTCTGCTCTCTGGAGCCCAGGTCTGTGATCCTGCTTTTACTCTGCTCCCTTCTCTCAAGACTCTCAGGACTCTCAACTCCACCATGCCGTGGTCTCTCCAGCCAAGGTTGCCTCTCATCTTCCACACCCCTCACCAGGTCTTCCAAGCTTTCCAGTATCAGATCCATCAGAGCATTTTCCCTCTTTGTAATTTTGACCACCGTGCTGGGAAATTGTTTCCAGAGCGTTTCAGGAGCCTCCAGGATTGTCTGTGCCCTGYTGTGCTGCCCCCCAGCTGGTACCACAGCGGTTCAGACGTCCAGTGAAGACCCTGGCTGCCAACAGGATCCTTGTTCCAGCTGTCTGAAGAAAGATTCCTGCTCTGCTTCCCGATCCACAGGTCTGTAGTAGGCACCCAGAATTATGTCCCCACATCCCTTTGCCTCCCAACCCAGACCAACTGCCCTGGGTCACTTTATCCACCCCAGGGCAGAGCTCCACACATTTCYGCTGCCCCCTCACACTGAGGACAGCTTCCTCTCTGTGGTTTCTCACTAGGGGAGTCCTCCCCATCCATTGAATTATGCAAGGATTCATGGAAAAAACCCTAACAAATGTCACTAAAACCACGTCCGAGTGCCAAGGGAACACATGGGCCCAGCCATYCCTCATCCTGGCACCCCCTGGCTCCCAGCTGGACCTCCCCAGCTCACAGTGCCCACTCGGCCATGTCCCTGTGCACAGGAGCCCCTCTGACAGCCCAGGCTGGCACTACCCCATCTCCCCATGTTTCCCCTGTACCTCGGGACTCCCATTYATGTCTCACCTTTAACTCTCCTCTGTTTGCTGACAGCTTTGACAGCTGCTCAGCCATGGCCGTGCTCTGAACGCTGTCTCTGCTCCTGTCATTTCCTGCCACATTCTGTCTTCTCTTGAGCAGGCTGTGGCTTTACGCCAGGGTACTGCTCTGTTCCCACTGTTCCAGTTGGGAATGTGGCCACTACCCCAGCACCACACTCAGCACCTGTGGGGAACATGGCCCTGGCAAAGGGAAGGCTCCAGCGTTTCCCCCTTTAGGATACAAGCTGTGAACCTGCAGGGTAGGTACAGCTTAGGAAGATTTCAAAGGGAGGCAGAGCTGTGTCCTGCCCTGTTTCCCTGGTGGGGACCTCAAAGCATAGACTGGGGATTTGGGCTGGGGGCTCAGCCTCGGTTTTAGGATCAGGAGATGTCGCAGTGTGGAGCCTCTTGGCTGGAGCACAACAATCTCCACACAGCCAGACCCTCAGGAGGGGCTGGGAGCTGAGAGCCAGCGTCACGAAAGTGTCCTAGGTGCAGCTGCTCTGGGCTGGGGACAATCCTCTGCCATCCTCTGGAGCAGAGACTGGCACTTCCCTCCCTGCTGCACTCTCCCCAGGGCTCTGCTTCCTGCCAGCTTTCCCTGGGCAGATTGTGTGTGCTGCTGTTTCCCTCCTGCCAGCTCCACTCCKGATGAGGGCTGAGGGATGGGGGATGGCTGGGCTGGCCCCAGGAGGCTCATGGTACTGGGAACACGGGAGGAAGGAGCATGAAGGGGCTCCAAGGGCTGGGGCACCCCTGCTGTGGAGACAGGCTGGGAGAGCAGGGGGTGTTGGGGRCAATAGCCCAGCTCACAGGGGATGGGCACACTTGAATGAGTGTTAATGAGGGGCTTCACAGGGCACCTGCTCTGTGTGTGGGGCTGGAGGCCCAYGCTGGGCACCACCAAAGCTCTAAGGCTGGGAGTGCTCCCATGGCACAGGGCAGGAGCCAGGGGCAATGCCTGGGCTTCCTTGAATGGTCCCTCTTCAGTCCTTCCCCTCCTAACCTTGGTGGGCCATAAAACCTGGACTTCCCACATGCTCTGGGGTTTTCTTCAGCCCCACAGAGATGTCCCGCTGTCTTTGTCTCATCTCAGCCTGGTGCAGAGGGGGGAAATTCCATCCAAAGTGCAGCAGAGTAATTTTTCCTGCTCTTCCCTCCAGGTCCAGGTCAGGGTATCTCAGACAAGTTCTTGAGCACGACAGAACAGCCCCAGCCTGCAGAACTTGCCTGGCCCCTCAGAGAAGGAGGAATTGATCCCAGCTTCTGCTGGACCTCACCCAAGGCTCCTGCATGTTTCTGTCCCCATGTGTCATGGCCTGAGAGACTGGGAAAGCTTGGATTTCCTGAAGACTGGCTCCACTGCTGATGTACCCCTGGGCTTCCAGAGAGACAGTGAGGAGAGCAGGTGAAGGGCAGGAGCAGGAGGCCTCCTCCTTCCACGGAGAAACCACGGAGAGGAGACCCACGGAGTGCTTGGGTGTGAGGAGGGACCCGAGGGAGGGGCTGGGACACAGAGAGAGGAACAGAGGGTCCTTGGGGTGCTGGGATTTCTGGATCCCTGCAGCTTGCAGCTGTGCCCCAGGGAGCGCTGGTGCTGGGTCCCACAAGGCTGAGCTCAGCTCTGCAGCTGCCAGGGCTGGGAGCAGGAGCTGGGGCAGGGGGACCTCGCTGGCTCTGGAGGGACACCAGGAACCAGCATTTCGTGGACATTGCAGTGAGGAGGCAGGACACAGATTTCTGGGCCTCTGTTTGCCCTCAGAGCTTTAGGAAATCATGCTTTGGCTCAAGGACAAGGCTGGTATTGACCCTTTCTGCTCTGCCTTCAGCTGTCAGCTCAGGCCAARCCCATGACAGGAAAACCAGAGTACCAGGAGGAGAGGGATAAATGGGAAACTGAGGTGGGAACGGAAGAACAGGTAGTGAGGAGGGAGGTGTTGGAGGATGGTGAGGAAGGGAAGCACGAGAGGATGAGAGCATTGAGGCCTCCAGCCAAGGCACCCCATGCTTCTCTCAGCCTGTCTTTCATGTCTCAGAGTGTTTGGGTTTCTCTAAACTTAGAAAATCCCACATGAAGATTTTTTTTCATCTTATCACCAAGACTGCTAAGTGCAACCCAAACTAAGAGACACCACACAGAACAAATGCTTAAACATTAAACCCACAGAAACCACAAGCAAATGGYGTGTTTGTTGTTTCTGCATTAACCCCAGGAGCTCCAGGGAGGATGGAGGTAGCAGTGAGAGAGGAAGCCCCARGAATCAAGGGGAACCCCGTAAAGCTGGGAGAGGGACAGGAAGGAGAACACTGTGTGGGTGCAGGACTCTGGAGAAAAGCAGGTTCAGGCTTCTGGAAGCAGAACCCTCCATCCCCAGTAGAGGTGCCAGCACTCTGCATCMCATTTTCAGGTTTCACTTGGATCTGGAGAGAGCTTTCTGCTTCTGCCACRGACGAAAGTTCAGGGTTTTGTTGCTCCTGGGTGCTAAGTGGAGTCCCCAGAATTTGCTGCTTCACCCCACCTGAGCTCTGCATTTCCTCGTGGGGTGTGGGACAGCACTCCCAGGGATGCACAGGATGCAAGTGTCGGGTTGTCTGTGTAGGGTCACGGGCTGGACTCTCTGCCCTCTGCGGGTCCCTTCCATCTCAGGATACTCTTTGATTCCATGATTTTCTCCTGAGCTTTTGAACGTGGTAGCAGAGGTGCTTTTAGCCAGATTCTGCTTTATCCCCTTCAATAACCCAGCTCTTTGCTCATTTTCATAACCCTGGCACAGCTCCTTGGCGAGGCTCTGCTGGGGCACACCCCTGTTCCAGGTCCCTCTGAGTCCTCWGAGGATGTGATGAGCAGCAGATGTTGTGTCACCAGCCTGGCCAGGCTGTCCCATCCTCGCAGAAACTCTTCAGGCAGGCAGTGGCTGCAGTGCCACAGTGGGGACCCGGCCTGAGCATCCCAGGAGCTGCTGGCAGAATGTGAGACAAGGGATGGCAGCACAGGGGTGAGCTGGGGAGGGCTGGCAGGCCTCCTGTCACCCTGGCCATGCCTGTAGTGCCACCTCTCTCCGGATGTCCCAGCTGTGCTAGCTCCTGTCCCTGTTCCCGGTGCCCCGGCTGTCACAGCTGCCCACAGTGGGCTTGAGAGGCTCCTACAGCACGAAGGACTCCTCAGACATGCCCCCTCCTGGCTCATTCACTGGAAAGCAGACTGGAATTGCACCCCCAGTCCTGAGCATCCCCAAATATTCCAGGYCCAAATGTGTAGCCCAGGCTGGACCCTGAGCAGCCCTGGTAATGCCTGGCACAGCCCWCCCGAGGCTCTGCAGGAGAAGCACCTTCCCTGTCCCCAGGTAGTCCTTCCCCCTGCCCATCTGTCAGAGGTTCCACCAGCCCCTCACGGGACAGGGTGATTCCTCTATGGATCCTTCAGGGATGGGTCCTTGCAGGGGCCCGGTTCAGGAGGGATGCCCTGGGAACGGGTTTGGCGCTGCCCCATAGCTCCCATTCCTTTATGGGGGGCAGGAAATGCATCTCACCCACCTTGGGCAGCTCCCCACGCTGCTCCCAGAGGTTCTGGTCATGGTACACCAGCCCCCAGTGCTGCATCCCTGGGCTGCTGCCACGAGCAGTCTTGGCTCACAGCCCCTTSTCCCCAAGCTGCTGGACCTCAGTGTGCACTGGGGTGCACCAGGGTGCCTCAGGAACAGGGATCAGGAAACCTCCTGGTGTCCTGAGGGGACGTTTGACACTGCTGGGGAAAGCTCTGTGCTGGGTTCTTCCAGGACAGCCAGGCTCGTGGACCAGGATGGGGACATGGCAGYGCTGACTAGCACCAGGACTGGGGCAACAAGGACCGGAAGGACCAGACAGCACTGGAGTAACAGTATGGTCACTCCTCTGGTGTCAAGGACTCAAGGACYGGTGGAGACCTCTGCCTTATGCCAGGAGCAGGGAGCCCAAGTGGCCCAGCAAGGGCAGGGTAGGGCTGGCAGGGGGAGTGCAGCCCTTACAGGGGTTCCTGCCAAGCATCATCTTGCCCAGATCCGTGCAGCCTGGATCCATCTGCAGTGAGGGTGTGGAGAGCCATCAGCACAGGCAGGAAGCTCTGTCACAAAGAGCCTCATCAGTGTTGTTACGCCAGTGCAATCATGTCAGAAACACAAAACGGTATTGCCACATGCAAAAGAGCAGGCGCTGCCTTCGCCAGCCCTGGGATTCTCACCCATGGCTCCAGTCCCACAAGAGATGGGCTCAGAGCTCCTGCCATGGCTCCCTGYGCTCAGCACCACCCAGCTGAGCCCTGGGGCTGGGGGGGCCTTGCAGATGACAGGGCAGGTCCGTCCCCATCTGCCCCCAGTCCCRCACAGCTTCCAGAACATGCCTTGCATCCCTGCATGCAGCAGAGACAGGTCCTCATGGAGAGCACAGCTCTGAGCACCCCAGGGAGCCCCACTGACAGGCTCTGTGCCTGCCAAGCCAGACTTTAAACCAACATCATTAAAGAGGAATTAATTACCTTCTTGCAAGGACCATCGCCCAAAGCCAGCCAGCCTTTCCTCCGTTCCAAACTCGCAACTCGATGGCAACAAGGACATGGCAGCTGAAGGCCACTAGGGCCACTCTCCAGCCATGGTCCAAGGGGCCTGAGACAGCCAGAGTCCTCCCGTGTGCTGCAAGAGGATGTGAAGATCCCCAAGGAGCAGGCCAGGGTAACAATGTGCTTCCCAMACCCTGAGATTTTCAGGAGCAAATATCCCTTTGGACAAGTGTAGCWTGAGAAAGGTGGAGGGAAAGTGCCAGCGAAGTGCAGGAAGGAGATGGATGCCTGGGCTGGTCTCCCTGGGGATGTGGAAAAGCCACACCTCATYCACAGCAATGGAGAAGGGGCTGATCAGGAGTCACCTCACACCATCCACAGCTGAATCAAGCACAGGAGGATGTGCCAGCAGCAGCTGCCAGCAGCCAGAGACTCCTGGGGCACCCAGGGAGTGCACCAGGGCACTTCCCTTCCCCTGAGCCAGATAGATTTCAAACCTCCTGCACAACAGCGCTTCCAGCCTGGCCTGGCAGGCACAGGAGCAGTCTGTGCTCCTGCMCAAATCCAGAGGGATGACAATCCCTGAGGAAGAGCGACAGCTGGCACGGTCTGCAGGAGTAGCTCCTGCCAAACCGCTGATCTCCCTGGGGAGGATTTGCCCTGGTGCTTCCCGGCATCCCTGACCCTGCTGTCACCTGCCCAACTGAGCCCCTGCAGGGGCCTGCCACAGCCTTGATGGCCACAGCTCAGCCTGGCACCCCTAGCATGTCCCCTCTGCCCATCCATGGAGCCAGGRGTTGCCTGCAGGAATGAGCTGAGGGTTCCTGGCGCTGGTGAGGCAGCACAGCACCAGGGACACTGAGGTGTCACTTGGGACTGACCCATATTAAACGCTTGGGATCTGACCCATATTAAATGCTTTTTTTGTCAAGCTGCAGCAACCCTTTCCATCCTGGCAACCCTTGCTGAGTGCACATCAACCCCTCCACCTGCTTTCCTTTTCCAGAAGTGACACTCCTGATTTGTTTCTTGCARTGTTCCACTTCATGCAAAGATCTGGAGTTTCCCTTTTTCGAAAGTGGATGATCTGTGTGCAGGAAGGAGAAGGAGCCTCTKCTCAGCTCAAGCCTTGGCTGCTCCTGGACACCCTCAGCTGCCCACCTGCCCTGCCCCATGCAATGGGGGTGATTCTGTGCTCCAAAAGGCTTTGTGCACCCATGTGTGGCCATTCCCAGAGGTCCAGGCACTGCCCTGCTGGGGCAAAGAAAAGGTTGAAAGAGCTGAAGGTGTTCAGCTTGAGAAGAGAAGGCTCTCAAGAGACCTCAGAGCTCCTGCCGGGCCTAAAGGGGCTCCAGGAGAGCTGGAGAGTGACTGGGGTACAAGGGATGGAGGGACAGGACACAGGGAATGGCTTCACATTAACAGAGATCAAGGATATATGGGATATTGGGAAGGAATGGTTCCCTGTGAGGGTGGGCAGGCCCTGGCACAGGSTGCYCAGAGAAGCTGTGGCTGCCCCTGSATCCCTGGCAKTGTCCAAGGCCAGGCTGGATATTGGGGCTTGGAGCAGCCTGGGACAGTGAGAGGTGTCCCTGCCTGGGGGAGGGGTGGCATTGGATGAACTTTAAGGTTCCTTCCTGCCACCCTGGATTKATTCCTTCCAACCCAAACCACTCCAGGGTTCTGTAAATTTTTCTGTGTGTGGAAGAGGCTCAGGGGGGAGGCTCAGRCTCTGTTCCTTTCCCAGCATGACCAGGCAGAGCAGGATCTGGTTTGATGAGGAATGAAAGAGCCCCTAGGGACCCCAGTGGCCCTGYCTAGTGAGGAGAGCTTTATGTCCTGGGCTTTTGAAAGCACTGATGACAAAAAACTGACTGAGGGCAAGAAATCTGAAAGTTTGATCAAAGCCTCCAGGAAGAGCAGGAGGGTGCAGTGGAGCCTGAGCAGGGCTGGAGGAGGRAGCATGGTGCAGACCCCTGACACCCGAGCAGGACACACAAAGGCCAGAAGCAGTAGGGACAAGGTGGAAAAGCTGGGAACGTCCCCTTGGGAGCTGAACATCGCAGGGGCTTTGTGTGACAACACAGGCCAGGTGTGTCAGAATAAAAGGAAAAGGGAATTCTCTGCAAATGAGAACAGTGCAGAATGTCTGTATCTCAAGGATGGATGTGTAAAGATGAATGTAGAGCACAAATAGAGAGAGAAAAATCAAGCAGACCGAGGAGGAAAGGAATCTGCCTAGATGGATAAGCCTAGGAAAAGAGAAATCTGTCTGTCCAGGAAAATCTAGATTAARGCAGTGGGACAGAGAAGGGAATGCCCGGTGACACATGAGATAGCTGAATGGCTCAGYACCTTTGTGCTTTAAATATTTACAGAAGCGTTCACTCTAACCAGATTACTGCTGGCAACAGGAGGCTCAGAGCAAGAAGGGAGTAATGGAGTGGATGAATAGAGCATGGGAATATTCAAATTGCCAAAATCTGATAAAATTTATCTTGGCATATGTGAGGAAGCAATCACAGTCATCTCTGACCTCAAAAAACACACATGCACAGGTGAGGTCCTYGTGGAGTGGAGCAGGAGGAAGCACAGACTTTGACATTAAAAGGGAGTAGGGAAATCCCCTGGGCAG